TTGTTAGTTTGTTTTCACATCTAAATGAGTATATTGATTCACTTGGAATATGCAGTACTTGCACAAATGGAAGATATTCATTCCCTCTCCGGCACTTGTTGGTGTATTGGTAATGATTTGTCCGATCTTTTTTGTGTAATTTTTTTAGAAAAATGTTTTATCCAAGAGCTATCACTCGTCATATCCATTAACAAAATAGAACAAAAATTGGGGATATAAAAAACTACAAAACCGAACCCTTACTCCTACACTTACATGCACACCCTCCCCACTCGTGATTTAAAACTTCCCCTTTAATTAAATTATCTTTTGTTGCAATACTATTTTAAAGCAATCTTCATACCAAACATGATACTTTTGATGATATCGTCTTATGCTAAACCTTCATCCATGACTAAAAAATAATTAGAAATCAAATGCCAAATACTCATTTAATGTGTCACCGCCATATCTAAATAAAGAGATGAATTTGATATGAACTTGTAACAGAATTGCATGCATAATAAAGCCAAGTAAAATTTTTCATTCACAAAACTTGAATAATATCATGTTCAAAAGGGAGTGTTTCTCATCCTTCAAATAAATACTTAGAATAATGCAATTCATTTTTAAAATGAAGGTCTCGCTTATATTTTATGAAATTCATTTCTAAAATTAAGGTCTCGCTTATATTTTATTTAATAGTGGTAATAAATACATAGAGGTTAGAGAGAGTATTATTATCATTCTTAATATCAATATACTAATTACGGATACTCCGAACACGATATCAACACTCATACGAAAATATCGTTGATAATTTAAAAAATGAATAAATTAAATGTAATTATAAGTATTGGTGTATGTGACAATACAAATTTTTTTTAGAAGTGTCGGTGCTACATGTTGGAATTACATCAAACTTATGGAGAATTTTGAATCAATTTTAATGAACAAGAATTAATCTTTCTGATTGATTACTCCTCTTGTTCATCACTCTTCACTCGAGTGAATCAATCACACCTTAACTGCAAGATGATTTTGTTGCACAAATTTTTTAGAAGAAGAGAAAGATGAATTGGGGAAGAAAGGAAAATTAGGTTTTGGAGAAAAGGGGAAGAATGAGAATATTTCTGCAGAGTTTCTCTATGCCTTCAAACTGAAGTTTTATTCAAATTTTCTCTCTGCAACTGCATTATTACAATGATAGGGCACCTACTTATTTATAGGCTGAGATTGCTTGCACACCAAACAATATCCAACTAACCTAACTAACTCAGCTAAAACAAATAGATAAAGTTAAGTCAAAATTCTATCGAGATACACTTCTTTGACATTTCGACAATACAAAGTGTTTCGGTACTAACAAGCATTTTGACAACATGCTTCGACACAAGAAATTATATTCTCAACACACCATATAATTCATTATATCTAACCTATCTACATTCATCATAGATCTTGATTTTTTGAACACTTTGACCTACACACCTTTCAACATGATATCTGTAATTTGATTCTCAGTTCTGTTGTGTTTCAAGTTCAGCCTTTCATTTGCTACTTGCTCTCGAAGATAATGGAGCCTAATTTTGATGTGCTTGCTTCTTCCATGTGCTATCGGATTCTTTGCAGTATTGATAGTAGACATGTTGTCGATCTTCATGGTAATTACTTAATGATTCTTCCCTGTAATTTCTTTGGCCAAATTCACCATCGATGTTGCTTGACATGCACAGAGAGAAGCATATATGTATTATGCTTCACACGACGATAATGCCACTACTGATTCTTTTCTTGAGTTCCAAGCAATTGGTGCACCACCTAGCATAAACACATAGTCAGTTGGGGATTTTATACTCAACGTCACTACACTAACTTGAGTCGGTGTAACTCACAAGTTTGCATTCTTTTCCTTCATCAGCTGCAGGTAATAAAATGTCATAGTCGAAAGTTCCTTCCATATACCTTAGTATCCTTTTTGTCGCTTCTAGACGTGATAACTTTGGCTTCTGTATGAATCTACTCACCATACCTACATTGTATGCTAGACCAGACATTGTGCAACAAAGGTATATTAACGACCTAACAAGTCTTCTGTATTCTGTTGGGTTGACATTATTTTCCTCTAAGTATTTCGGCAATTGCAGTCTTGGTTCAGCAGGTATCAAAGTCGAATTACAGTTTTCCATCTCAAATCTCTTAAGTATCTCGCTTGCATATCTTCTTTGATGCATCATCAAGTTTCTACTACTCTTGTAGAATTAGATGCCAATGATGTATGAAATGTCGCCCAAATCAGAAATTTCAAATTCCTTCCTAGGATCACATTTGAAGTATTCAATCTCTTTCTTGTAGCTATCTGTTATCAATAAGTCATAAACATAGAGACATGATATAAGTAATTTACTATTGCTTATTATTACATCTACTCCATACTCAGTTGTTCACTTCATAAATTCCTTCTCCCTTAGAAAGCTATCTATATTATTAGTCTAAGATCTAGGAGCTTGCTTAAGTCCATACAGGACTTTATGCACCCTGTATACATTGCTTTCTTCTCCTTGTTTCACAAACTCAATTGGCTATGCAACATAAACTTTTTCATCTAATGCGCTATTCAGGAATGCACATTTCGTATCCATGTGCCGCATTTTCCACTTGTTCATGTTTGCTAGACCAACAACCAACCTGATTATTTCGATCCTAGCAACATGTGCAAATGGTATCAGAGTTAGACCTCTCCCAGTAAGATGTGGTTTGGGGACGAACCAAATGGAAGCTGGTGGGCATGTAACACCTGAGGCTAAATAGGGCGAAGAATGGATGTAACACTCAAGGCCGAAGAAGGCGGAGAGTGGTCACCAAATTCACATCGAAATAAGAGGGATCCCGAGGGTGTGTAGGAATGAGACTGCATGATTGAAGGAAGGCTTATAGGGATTGATTAGTACTACTATACCAACAATATGCATCTTCTTTTTGGTAGCCTGACAAATAAGAACTCCATATTTAAGCGTGCTTGACTTGGAGTAGTATTTGGGTGGGTACCTTCTGAGAAGTTTCCTGAAAAGCGTGTGAGTAAGGACAAAACATGCGGAAAAGACTCGTGTTGGTTTGTGGAGTCAGTTGATAATTCTGAAAGTAGTCTAGGGTGTTACATGAAATTGTTTGAATCCTAGCACCAACAATTAGCCATTTATCGTGATAAAAATGTGATTGACATTGTATATCACCACAATTTTTGTTTTTAACTGTGATAAAATGTGATACTTATTTATTTATAACAACCCACTCTCTAAAAAAAAAACCCTAACAACTTTTTCGCTCGTCTCTCTCAAAACGAAACCCTAATAATCGTGTCACCCGTCTCTCTCATATGGAAACCCAAAATGAAACTATAACATCAAATCTTAGCCAATGAGTATTTACAGGTTCGTTTCCTCTATAGTTTTTTTCTTCAAAATTCTGTTTCAAAGCTTGTTTCATGATGTTTGAATTTTCTTCTTGTTTTGACTTGTAGGTAGGGATACTTGTTTCAATAAAGAGGACGAAACTAAAGTTAGAGTTGCAAACTTGTATATAGGGATATTAAGTTTGTGGATCTAACTTTAGGTTCATCTTAATTGCATTGTAGACACGCCATTATAGGACTTGTATGGTACATTTTTAAAGCATTATATGACTTGATATGTTTGTTATTTTTGTTGTTTATGGTTTTTTGTCGATGAATGTTGTTGTTAATATTTTTTTTAAAGATGATTTAATTAAGTATCATGTTGTTTGAGTGTTTTTTCAACCCCTTACTGAATATATCTTTCTAAACTGCATTAGCAAATTATGGTATGATAGATAAAGTTATACTAGAAAACTAATACATGTTCAATTCTTGACATGAATTCTTTAGACCATTAACTGAATGTTGTTCTTTGACAGTTAGAACTTGGTTTAGCGGTTGTAGGTCTTCAACCACCCCTCTCTCCACCTCTAATATTATTTGCAAAATAAATAATATTTTACAAAAAGAACTAGAGTGGAAGGCAGAGGCGGTTGAAGAATTAGGATCCTTAAACAAAACTCTTACTGTCAAAGAATAAAATATTGATAAGATGTTGAAGAACTCTTGTTTAGCATTGAATGTCAACTTGTACTTCTAATATAACTTAATTTGTCATATTATAATATTCTAGTGCAGATTGAAAGGTTATATATTTAGTGACCATTGGCGAAATAAGCATTCCACATAATTTATAATAAACTCAGATCTATATATCACAACGGTTGTTTAGCACAACTGTTGTTAAACGGTTGTTTAAAGTAACCGTTGTAGTAGGTAGCACACTATATAGATACAATCGTGGTCGCACGTCCGTGGTTGAAAACATCATACATACAATCACACCTTACCTCACAACGGTTGGACAAGCATGATGGTATCCTTTTCCAACCGTTGTGATAAGTATTTTCGATAGTAGTGTTGCTTGCACACCAATCAATTTTCTACTAACCTAACTAACTCAGTTAAAACAAACAAATAAATGAAAACGAGAGAGTACATATAGAGTGACTTCAAAATATTTACTCTAATTTACTCGAAGTAATCCTATCCAACTTTTTAAGATAAATAGATAAGAATTCACCTTTAATTATTATATAGAAAACACTTAACATTTTAAACCAACTCATCTAAATTGTCCAATTTTTACCCATTATTATTAGTATAAAGTAATAATCAATTTTACCTATAACTAATCTTCCTTGAGAGAGTTCCCCTCTCAATTTCTAACCATTTTTTGCCCACAAAGTTAGAACCTCATATGTCCATATCACATTTAAAATGTTTGGCCAATCAATATAACAAAGTCATCTTTCTTAGTTCATAAATAATCTTTACATGGCTAAGAAAATTTACAAAAGGAAACATAACCTAATATGTTCAATTTTTATTTTTTCTCTTAACATAACAATACTTCAAAATTTGATAATTCTTAACAAATAAAGTACAACTAATAAAAATAAAAATATCACACACACATTCGAATTTGGTTCCCATGAACAAGTAGATGTTGATGATTCACCATTTCATGACACCTCCTTAACCCTTCATTACTATTTCCCACTACCGTAGGAATTCTCATATTTTCTTCTTCTTCTTCTTCCACCTCAAGTTCTTCATCTTCTTCTTCTTGTTCTTCTTCACTTTCTTCTTCTTCTTCTTCACTTTCTCCTTCTTCTTCACTTTCTCGATCTGGTATTAGATGCAATGTCAACCGTCCATCACGCCGGGAAGCGTGAAGGATATCAGGTCGGTGTATTCTAACTTCCGTTAATTCCAACCTTCCGTCTTTCCTCACCGGCCTAAGATAAAAGCTAGGTTTCCCATTCCGATTCAATGACGGAATCGGCGGCGGGAACGACCTCATACAATTTCCTCTACTCTCACCTTTTTTCATCCTCATCCTCCTCTTCCAAATCTCATCCTTCTCGTCACTATTCACCTTCGCATCCGTTCTATCATTAACTCTTCTCTCGTCGGAACTCTCGAATCCGAGACTTTCAGTGCAAGACATCAAACCATCCACATCACCGGAGAGAAATTCAATCCTTGAAGAATTTTCATTAATGCTCGCCTTCGAATTTAACATGGTTGATTCAAAAACATTCGGAAGCGGAAGCTTATCGGTGATGGCCGTAGCAAGAGCCAAACCAGAACGAGAAACAGAGTGAGATTGTGCAGTAGTGACGGTAGTTAGATCGAGAAGAGATTGAATATTTTTCTTGAACAAGTTAATAACAGAAGGAAGAGCCAAAGAAAAAGAGAAAGAGAGAAGAATGGGAATAGGGTGATATAAAAAAAGAGTTATATTTGTATCTGTATCTGTCATGGTTGAGTTTTGAGTTAGAAAAAGAAAAGGGTAAAAAAGAGGACAAGAGTGTTATATAGTTAGAAATGTATTTGATGATGGCCTGATGGGGTGGCGAAGAAAAGATGAGGTGGAGAGTTTGTTTTTAAGATATGAGCTGGATAGAATGAGTAAACGGTGCCGGGTCCCACGTTGGTTAATTAACTATTACTACTAATCAATGTGATTACCCTTAAATAGAAACTTTTTTTCTTGCTAATCTGTTTCACTTGTATGGGTTAAATTTAACAATAAAATTAACCTCTTATTAAACTTATGACTTTTAGATTGAATTTTGTTTGTTTGTTAAGGCTGGAACATATACAGCTGTTTTGGAAATTAGTTGGAAATGGAATTTTGGATATTTTCGTGCTATTTGATTTCATTTGACCATCGTAATAATAAATGGGAAATTATTAGTGGTTGTGAAAAGGGCTTGAGTTCTAGTTGGTACACGTTTTTTCTTCACTAATGTTATAACAACACAAAATTTTGACAATAAAAGTTATTTAGATAGCCTAGCCGTTGTCTTTAATTAAAAAGCAATTTATGACTCTTGATTCTCCCTTTAATTTGTAAAATGTGTTTGGCTAATAATCGGCAATTTATGATGTTTCGCGACTCCATCTTAAATTTCTGCATAGTTTTGATTTGTGTTATGGGGTTTGTTGTATCATTAGGAATATGAGGTGCATCATGTGTTCTTTATTCATGGTTATCGGTCATGTTTCTTGTTTCTTCTAACTCTTCATCAAAGTCTTTTGACATTTAAATGCATGTTGTTCTTTGGTGGGATATAAAGATAGATATTATTGAAGGACTATTTTTCTGAATAATGTTGTGTATTTAATGAGATCATAATGGGTGTACATAATTAGATAATACAATTAATTCTATTAATATAATATTAATATTAATTAATTTTAATTGATTATTAATTGATTCGAACAAATTATTAACACTTCCCCTCAAGTCGGATCATATATGTCATATGAGCCGAACTTGTTACAAATTTTAAGTCATCCAACCTCCTTTAAAGTTGTTGCCATAACACGCTATTCAGCTTCAACACTAGATATTGCAACTGAGTTTTGTTTATTACTCCTTTACAAGATCATATTTTCTCCAATAAGAACACGATATCCAGAAGTGGATCTCTTATTCGACGTTGATCCGACCTAGTCTGCATCTGAATAAAAAGTGATTTTAGCAACACCATTATCTTCATATAATAGCCCTTTTCCTGGTGCTTTATACACACACACACACACACACACACACACACACACACACACACACATATATATATATATATATATATATATATATATATATATATATATATATATATATGAGAATACGAATCATTCCAATGACTATCACAAGGAGTGTTCAGAAATTGAATCACAATGATCATTACATATGTAATATCCAATATGGTGATAGTGAGATAATTGAGTCTATCCACTAGACTGTAAGTACAGAGGATGCCTGAGAAGGGGGGGGGGGGGTGAATTAGGACTTTAGAACTTTTTCCGGTTTTTATGGTTTCTTAAAATTTTACTGGTTTGTGTTCTTGGTTATGAAAGCAGTAGAAAGTAAAAGAACAATGGACACCAGGATTTATAGTGGTTCCCCTCACAATCCGAGAGTACTCCACTCCCCTTTCAACACGAAAGAGAGTTTTCACTATTGTTTAATAAAGTACAACCTATCACACTATCAACCGGTGAGGCCTACTATCAAACAATAAAACTTAACAAGTGTACAAGAACAATCCTCTTGTAAACACTCACCCTTGTGTCCAACAATCCTGGATCACAAGTCAGAATACAAATATTTGTAATGATTTTTGTTTTGAGAATAATAATATCAATCAAAGTTGATCTTCTCCAAATGATCAAAATTCACTCTTATAATTTTCAACACAAGTGTTCAAAAGATGAATATGAAATTTTTATACAAATATGAACACTTAGAAAAGATTTTGAAAATGGTGAATTTGATTCTAAGAATATTTGAAAATGAATGTTGGAAGTGTTTGGAGGTTGGAGGTGTTTTTCAAAATTGAAAAACTCAGAATTTATATGTGTAAACACACCTTTTCCAACAGGTATATTTGAGTATAATTCAAAATATGAACTGGTATAATTTTCAAACCATTTTTGAATTTGAAACAAAGCCATTTTTCAAAATTCGTTCAGTGTTAATCGGTTAACCTATATGATTAATCGGTTAACACTTGAACGTTGTACAAAAATATTCAAAATTTGAAATGGTTAACCGGTTAACCTATATGGTTAATCGGTTAACATTGCTATTTTTCAGAAAAATGCTTTTTTAAAAAAAAAATAAATGTTATACTAATTCTAAAGTTTCAAAAACATGCTAATGTAATATGCCAAAATGATTGATGTTTTTGAACACTTGTATATCAATTATAAGGATAGATTTTGATATACCCGCAATGCATCCAAGTCTTGAAGAATCATAGTTCCATATGTAGCTTGACTTGAAAGATAGCTTGACTTGATCTTGATTCCTTTGAAAGACTTGACTTTTTGCAACCAAGAGATGAACTTGAGTAGTGTTGACATCATCAAAACTAGAGATTGAAGCATGCTTCTACATTCTCCCCCTTTTTGATGATGGCAATCAAAAAGTGTTGTGCGATATCTTTTGGTTCTTGATAAGTTTCTCCCCCTATGTCTAGCAACTCCCCCTATCTTAACAGAGGAAAGAAATCTGCACACAGAGAGACATTAACAGAACCAAGCTCTTCTCCCCCTTTGACATCAGCAAAAAGGAAGAGCTTTCAAAGAAAAACACAAGATAGCAGCATATATAGTAGTAAGCACATGCAAAGCCAAGTAAACAAATAGCATAAAAAGTAGTACATATAAAATGCAGCAAAACGGAAATTGTACTTGTTACAATAAAACATAGTTCAAATGGAAGCATAAAACTTAAAACTAGAAAGCAAAGCAGTAAAACAACATCAACAACATATTCTCTAAAAATCCTCATCCGCCATATCCTCCTCCTCTTCTTCCTCTTGTCCTTCATTTTCTTCATCAGATACAACAAGGTTGTCAGTGTTGGTGTGGTGAGAGGAAAGTACAAGGTTCCGGAGAGAAGCAATGGCCCGGGAGGTTTCTCTATGCTGAGTCATTATAGTTTGGTAAAGGAACTCATTTGTAATGCCTCCTTCAGGTACGGGATAGGCCTGGTTAGCATTGGCTCCTTCATCTGAATACTTGTAAGTACCGTCAGTATCCTTAAAAATTCCAGTATTCTTGACAATTGTAATCTCGTTGATCTCATTGGTGGTTGATTTCATCTTGATGGTTGGTTCACGGTTAAGATCCAAAGTAGTCAGTTCCAAAATTCTTGATACCAGCCTTGCATAAAGAAGACGGGTTGAAAGAGATAGTTGTTGTTGAAGGTGATACATGATGGTCAGAATCCAATTGACACGAATCTTGTTCTTGATGGCAAAAAGAAGTTGCATTTCCAGATCATTAATTTGTGCATGATTCGAATCCTTGGGAATCAGCACATAACAGATTATATAGTGAAGCATCCGATCAGAAACGGTAAGATTCTTTGCATAGCACAACAGACGAGCAGTGCGTTGGTTGGCGATAATCATCTCCTTTGGAAATCTGCAGATCTGATAGTAGAACTCCATCTTGTCGTAGTTGGACCACGACCCTTCCACGTGGTTAACTCCCTTTCTCAGAAAGTACCCAGATGATGGTATGTTCAACATTGCAGCAACATCAGACAGATTTTCTTCCACAACACAGTCTCTAACAATTGTTTTCATAATATGCTCATCATTTGCATTTATAAACACAGACATTTTATGCAAAAAGGATTTGACAAGATCCGGATAGCAGTTTCCAGAATCCGACACAAATTTATCGATCCTCTGATATTTGAGCAAAGCAGGAAAATCAAAAGATGATGCTGGAAAAGCCTTAAGATTCACATACTTTACCGGGAGGATGGAACGAACTCGGAATTTGAAATCCATTATGCGCTTCTTGGTTGTTTCCATAGGGATATCTTCTTCATCAGATGCAGAATGATGTTCTGGTACCTTTCCCTTGCCGCGGTTTGATGCTGAAGCCATGGATGAAAGTTTGAGAGAACTGCAGTTGTGGGTTATGAGGAAGTTAGGGTTTGAGAAGTTGTGGGGATGGTTATGAGGAGTTATCCAACTTTAGAGAGTGGGAGAGAGAAGTTAGGGTTTGAAGAAGGAAGTCCCGCAAAAAAACTCTTTAAGAGAGGATATGAGTTTGGATATGGATTTGGATACTTAAGAGAATATGGACCACATAAAAAATACATTTATGAAATATAATATTTTCAAAAATTAATTAATTTTCGTTTCTGATTTTTAGAAAATTTAACAGTGTTAATCGGTTAACCATATAGGTTAATCGGTTAACACATTAAAAAATTGAGTCAGAATTGAAAATTTAACAGTGTTAATCGGTTAACCCATATGGTTAATCAATTAACACACGCGAATTTTTGAAAAATGCTTAAAAACAGAATGCATACACATGAAAACATATCACAAATAATACATACACATATTAGAGAAAAGGTCAGATGTCACCTTCATCAAGAATCCCAAGTTCTTGCCGAATTTTGTAGAATGGTTCTTTCGCCAAAGGTTTGGTGAAGATGTCGGCGAGTTAATTGTGCGTGTCGACGAAAGTAACATCTACATCTCCATTCAATACGTGATCTCGAAGGAAGTGATGCCGGATATCTATATGTTTTGTTCTTGAATGCATGACCGGGTTCTTTGTAATATTGATGGCACTTGTATTATCACATCTAAGAGGAATGCAGCCGAGATCTATACCGTAATCGAGGAGTTATTGCTTGAGCCACAGAATTTGTGCACAGCAACTTCCTGCTGCAATATATTCTGCTTCGGTTGTACTGAGTGCCACATATGCTTG